ACTAGCGTGCTCGGACGTCCCGGAGCAGCAACCTACTCGTGTCAAACCCGTGGGGGCGCCGCTTTCGGCCGCTGGCGTTCCAGGATGCTAAGCACGTGCTGGACCACGTCTCTTTGATTGCCTGGCTCTCGGCTAAATGCCAACTGCCATAAGCTGCATGGCGTCTAAAACGAGTGAATGACATGGACACAACATGCAGAATACTATTAGAAAATGCGCTCTCCATATGCAGAGCAACCCCACATATGTGGTGCAAGCTTGAGGTGGAACAACACAAAACCAAATTTTCCATTAGCGGCATCACCTGGTATTGCTTTAACAGTACAGTTCAGAGACTTTTTCAGCAACGAAGAGTGGCCAGTGCAAAAGTTTTTAAAGTTCTCTTTTTTTTTTTTTTTTGAAGTGAAGGGGTAAGGATGCATTTACTCAAGTGTCTGCGACACCAAGAACGGCAGCAATGCCAGCTCGAAGGGCGCAGGCCCAGAAGGCTCGTCTCAGGCACTATCAAGCGCTCGCTTTCACCCCGCTGTCACCGACGCCACCGCTTCACATTTCGTCGGCAACGGGCAACCGCAGAACGCACATGCTGGTGCCAAAGTGACAAAACTCAAAGCCATATTCCAACCTTGTTGGTGCCGAAAATTCATTATATCAAGGGTGTCTCTCCCTGCCACTTCGTTGCATGATGATGATAATATGTGGCTTTTTATTGGCGCAAGGACCATACTTGGCCAAAGGGCACCATGAAAAATTACATTAAAAAAGCATTGATGTGTGGTTTACAGTGACATGTGAAAGATACAAACTATGAGACTGCTACGTAGCCGTATAGGGGCCTAAAAATCTACAATTTAAGACGGGTAAAAGATATATGTATTTAAAATCATGGGGGTGACATGAAATGCTTCTAACACAGATCAATGGCAGTGGTCGTTGAATTTAAAATGAGGTATACGGCATAAGCACGAATGCCTCCCCGATAACCCTCGAGTCCAAGGATCACGAGGCAGGTGCTATTTTAATGTTCCAACACAGCAGGAACCTCTACTCGGAGAGGTCATGCGAAGGGGATGCCTGGAAATATGACTTTAAAATCATTGACATTCTTTAAAAACGCGAACAGTAATTTATAACTAAAAAGCGGTTCTCTATCTATAAACATCGAAGGGTGCAAGGGCATTTGATGGAGGAAGAGAAAGTGTTTTTTTCTAAGTGTGTCTAATTCTCTGCACTTTACTAAAACATGAAGCATGGTGAGTGGTTCACCGCACTTATCGCATAGAGGTGGATCACCACCGGACAAAAGGTGTGAGTGAGTACTATGTGTGCGTGTTATCCTTAATCTAATGAGTGTGACTTCCGTGTGGCATGACCTCAAAACTGGCGGCCAATTCCCGAGACTTGGCTTAATGAGGTGGTTTGTTCTGCATTTGTGTGTCACACAGGCGCTGCCAATGATCCCTCAGCTTTCGTTTGGGATAGGGTTTGAGGTCAAGAGCAGGAACCGCTATAGATGTATTGACGGTGGTATTCGCGTAGGCGGAAACAGCTAGTCGATCTGCCAACAAGTTTCCTTGAATCTCGCGGTGTCCTGGCACCCAGAAGACTATGACATATTGTTTCTGCATGTAGATTGTGCATAAAAGTGAGTAAACAAAGGCAAGGACAGGGTTCGTGTGTTTTTTAAAGGTTTTCATGGTTGTTACCACGCTTAGAGAATCTGTATATATTACAGCTTCTGCCAACTTCATTTCTTTGATATGTTTGATGGCCGATAATATCGGGTATGCCTTTGCAGTGAAGATGCTCATATTGGGGTGCAGAACACCTACATCTGAAAAAGATGGACCAACCGCGGGATAGGACACAGAAGTATGAGATTTTGAGGTATCGGTAAAGAATTTCGAGAAAGTGTATTTGTGCTGTAGTTCAAGAAAGTGTGTACGGATATGTGCAGTAGGTGTATGTTTAGTAACCTCCACGAAGGACACATCACAGTGTATGAGTTACCACTGCCCAGTGGGAGATTTGCAGCGGGAGCTGCCAGATGGTGTTGGAGAAGTGGCACGCCCATTTCCTGAGCTAGGCTCCTTACACGCAGTGAGTAGGGCTGCCTCAAGGAAGGACGGTTGTCAAATAATGCTGAACTGGAGAGATTGTTATATGTAGAGTGTGCAGGTGCTCCTTGTCACAGTTTACTTTCAGAAAATACACAAAATCCGAGTAAGATCGCAGCAGGTGAAGCGACCACTCGTTCGATACAGCGTAGAGGCTTTCTACGGGGCTCGGCCACTTCGTTGCATAGAGGTTGCATATACTACATGCACTTCCATGGAGTAACAGCGGGGGAAAGAAAAACTTTGCAATATCCAGGAATTCGTTGTATGAAGGTTCATCATAGGCAAGTTTACCGTATATACTCGTGTAAGGGCCGCACTTTTTTTTCGAAAATTTTGCTAGGTGCGGCCCTTACACGAATCAGGCCGATTTAGTACAGGCAGTACAGGCCAAAGGTCTGTACTGTTTATGCAACAGTAGCAGAGTGCAAGAGTCACAAATGACATGCCAGAAATGTTTTTATTCGGATTCCATTTCGCTGTCCTCGTTCTCGGAGGAGCTCGCCTCGGCGTCCGCGTCTTCCCAGAGACGGTCATCTTCGGTGCCGTTCATGGAGTTCGAAATTCCCGTTACCTTGAAGCTTTTAGCAACTACTTCTACTGACATGGCACGCCACGCATTCAAAATCCATTCACACACCTGTTGGAGCGACGCCCGCTTCAGCCGTCCTGTAGGGGTCTTCTCGTGGACGCCTCCAGCCATCCATTCAGAGTAACATCGGCGAAATTCCACTTTGAATGGTCTGTTGACGCATACGTCGAGCGGCTGCAGCACACTCGTCAGGCCACCGGGAATGACGGCCAAGTCCGTACGAGTTGCGGCACTCGGTTCTTGACGCGGTCGGTCAAGTGGCCCCTAAAGCTGTCCAAAACAAGGAGGGCTTTCCGTTGTAACAGCCCTCCAGGTCTGTTTGCCCAGACGGTCTTAATCCAGTCAACGACCAGTTCCTCGGACATCCAGCCCTTCTCTTGCGCACGTACGACGATTCCCTGAGGGAACTTCTCTTTTGGGAGAGTCTTCCTTTTAAATACGACGTACGGCGGAAGCCTCCTGCCGTCTGCCGTGATGCACAACATCACAGTGCACCTTTGGCGTTCTGCACCAGTCGTGCGCACAGACACACTTTTCGCACCTTTTAAATCCACTGTGGTGCTTTCCGGTGCATCGAACCACACAGGTGTCTGGTCCGCATTCCCAATTTGGGACAGGTCGTATTCATGCTCCCTCCTGAGAGCATTCACGAAGCGATGAAACTTAATGACGTGGTCTTCGTACTCGCGCGGCAGTTTTTGGCAAATCGTCGTTCGGCGCCGAATAGAAAGCTGGTTACGGTTCATAAACCGCGTAGCCCAGCCCCGACTTGCCTTGAATTGTGCCGGGGGTATTTCCATGTGGCGAGCGATGCTGAGGGCTTTGACGCGTATCATGTCAGTCGATACGGCGTAGCCGTCCCTTCGTGTGTCGACGACGTAGTTGACGAGCTCGCTTTCGAGTTGCGGGTACTTGCACTTTTTCCCGCGAAACGCCTTTCGGCTCCTGTTAGTAGCGGCGAGGGCATCTTTCTGATTCATCCAGTAACGCACGCGCTTCTCATCGACGTCGTACTTTCGTCCAGCTTCCCGCTTCCCGTGCTCCTCGGCATAGTCAATCACTTGCAGCTTAAATGCTGCAGTGAATGATCTCAGATGCCGGCCCATCGTCCGTCACGTGCGCTGGCTTCTGCAGGGTTCACTACAACCAACAAAGTGACACCGACGACACCGATCTGAAGTCGCGCTGCCAACGTATCGACACGATGCTAGGAACGATGCCAACAAAGAGGCCGCACAAGGCAAATATGGCGGCGCGCTGTCAACAGCGTGGTCGGCGCGTCGGCGGAAGTAGAATAAAAGCGGAAAAGCGTGCAGCGCCATCTGGCTGTAAATGAACTAACTACACTTTTCTGGCGGGACATTTTGAACTTTTGTTTTTTTTTTTTTTCGAAATATCCGCTTTCAAAGTTGGGGTGCGGCCCTTACACGAGGGCGGCCCTTACACGAGTATATACGGTAACTGTAACACTTCCACTTTAAAATTAACTATTCCTTTGTTTTTAGTGGTGTCCAATGGGCTTTCATATTGCTTCTATCTAACTTAGTGGAAAGCAGCAGTGCAGCTAAATGAATATGGCATTTAATGTCACACTTCTGACCACTTGTGATGGCAGATTGCAGCAGCAGCGTGGGCATAAACATTTTATTACCTCGACTACTACAGTTTGTCAAACCTGCATTTCTTTCGACCTTTATCTAGTGTGTTGTATGACGGAAGTATAGAGACCTTCATTGGTGCAGTACTCAACTGTAAATGTGGTCGCTGGCTTTCGAGTTCAACAGATTTTTTTTTTTAACTTTCATGAAAGTGCTTGCTGTAGAAAGAGAATTTCATAGGTGTCTACACTCTGCATAAAATGTTGAATTTAAAGGTAACCAAGCAAAGTGCAGATTATACTAACTTAGAAAAATGTTTACCTGTAATCTGTTAAAATAGAGACTGAGTATACATTTTTTAGATAATTTACTATTTCTTTATATCTAATTATACATTACACCTGTGTTATTTGCAATTCGTTTCAACTATAGTACCATAGCAAAACTAGCCACATTTGTGATCAAGTGGCTGGTGTGCCACAGTTTTTACAAAAATAAAAAATGTCTGATTAACCTAAATACCTACAAAAACAAACAGTAATGCTTCTCAAAGCCCTGTCTAGAGTACTGAAGCATAAAAAGTTTTATACAAGAAACACAAGGTCAGAGAAGCAGACCAAGCTGCTCTGACCTTGTTTGTGTGTAAGTATAGACAGCTTGTCTACATAAGTACAAACTCGAACTAATGCCCACCTTTGTTGCAAGTGTCACAGATGACAATCTCATTCGGAGGTTCTGACTCCCCTGTGGTGCAGACGCTACACACAAGGTCATTGTCCTGACCAGAGTCAGAGTCGTCAAAAGATGGGTCAACAGCACATGTGGTGCCAGGATCTATGAAAACAACAAACCCCTTTTGAAAATCAACAAAGTACATCAGGAATTTTTGAGTTGAGTACACAAGATCCTTAAAAGGTGGCCCGTAGGGGTGTGTGAATACTTGAAATTCCAAAAATTCTTCAAATAGTAAAGCAAAACGGAGAGGCGAGTGAGTAGGTACTAATCCATTACGGTGCAAATGTAGTGCAAAAAAGACAAGGACAAAAAAGTCTACACCACAAGCGCTTAATCACAACTGAAAGCTTTAATGCCTAAACTGAAAATATATAACACTTACACTTGGTGCTCGACTAAATCCTGTGCATGCGCATCGTGTTTGCTATTTGATTCGATTCACACTAAAATTTTACTATTTGAAGTATTCAAACTTCCCGAAAACAAATACAATCGACGTACAATTGGCAGTGGCTTCTTACATGCTTCACCCCATCATACTACTATCACTTTGAGCAAAACTGCCTTTAGGACTCTTGTATCGACTATAGCTGTGCTAATAGCAAAATTTTGGGTGTAAAGCAAATTCAAATATCGAAGTATGAGTGCAAATCTTATTGAATAATTCTTGCATATTTCTACTATACTTTTCAAATAGTTCGAAGCAAAATTGAAAAAAAAAAAAAAAAAAGTCGGAGAGGATGCCTAAGCATATTCTTATGAAATATACAAACATGTAAGTGTTTCTTTTCACTAGGTTGAAGCACTGACGGGGTAACATTTTCATGGTCTCACCAAGATTGAGGCAATACAGAGGCCGAATTGTATTAGTACATGATTTGGTGCAACCAAAGTGTTGCCAACAGCGTTTCGCATAAGAAAGGCAAAGATGCCATTTCCTCAGCCTCCCCTGTTCAACTTTTGTGTTAGCCCAACAGATGTGGCAGACAAGGTCGTGCTCCCTTCAAGTTAGCAGTTCCAAATCTTCCTTGCAGACGTCAACATACAAACAAGAACATTCGAAATTTCTATTGCTAAAAATCTTCGACGCCCGATTTTATGGACCTTCTGCCCAAATTTCACGTCCAAAACAGCATTAACTGAGCTCCCACCTCTGCCACATCTATCATCTCCAAGTTGGAATCGGTGTTTCCTTGAGTCAATACATTTGCAACCGTAACAGAGCCCGAAAAGCAGCTTTGCTGCAATACGGGAGTGTGGTGAGGTGAACCGTATGAAAATCTGAAGGGGCCACTTTTAATTTGACGTTACTGTCTTCAAACGTTCGACCAAAACGAAGCCTGAAGGCAGCTTTGCCACAATACGATAATGTGATGAGATGAAGTATATTAAAGATCTGAAGGGGTCGCTTTTAATCGGACAGTGACTGCACGCTTCTTTGGTAAGTTCGAATAGTTTGAATAGTAAAAATTCCAGTGCCAACCGAATAGCAAACACTATTAAAGATATTCGAAATTTTGAATATTCGCACACCTCTAATATTGACTAAAAAAAACGCTGGTTGCCTCATGGAGATACAAAACACCGTTACAATGACTTCTTCACATTTTTACAATATGATCCACTGCATCACATTCTGGTACTGAGGCAAAGCTGTCTTTAGGAGTCAGCAAAGGCTCCAAGTTGGTAGACTTGCGAAAGTACTGGTTCAAGCCTACACAGCAGAGGTGGGGGCTTTAATTAATGACAATTTGGACCAGAAAGCTGGAAAAAATCGGACGGAGATTTTCAGCACCCGGCATTTCCGATGTTTTTTACTTGAAGGAAGCATGCCCTTGTCTGCCGAATCAGTTGGGCAACCACAGAAGTTGGAGAAGAGAGAGGCAGAGAAAACGGCATCTTTTCCTTTAATGTGTGATGTGTTGCGACACCACATTGGTTGCACCAAATCATGTAAATAAATACAATTCATTCTCTGCATTACCTCATTCTAGATAAAACTAGGGAACACCATCCCTCCAGCACCAACCCAGTCGAAAGAAACATTTCGATGTTGCCATCTCACAAGAATATGTGTAGGAATGCTCTGCAAAATTTTTTTTTCTATAATTTCACTTCAAAGTATTCAAAAAATATTAAACAAATATTTGACAATTGAAAAATATTTAGTTCAATTCAAACTCAAACTTTAATATTCGAATATGCCTCGCACCCATAATTTGCTATTGACACAGGTCTGAAAATCTGTGCAAAGAAATGCCTAAGGTATGTATGTGACAGTATACAGGTGCACTAGAACATAAAACAAACCAACGCTGGACTTACCTGAATGTTGATTGTAGCCCTTCCCATTGACAATCTTTTCTGGGGGAATACTAGGAAAGACTTTGCCGTTGAGGCATACCTTGGCCGAAGTACCGTGCTCAGCAAAGTTTCCAAGGTCATGACCAGGCAACTGCACATAAAAATATTTGTCATACACTGAGGTCCTTTTTTTAAATGCAGGAAACTAGCACTTGATATGTTTTTTAATAAAACATGCATGTTTCTTGTGAAATATTATATTCCACAAAAAATCATGGTTATTACCGTTGAACCCCTTTATAAGAGACACTGACATAAGATACAAATGGATATAAGAGGCAGCAGTATGTATACAGTAAAATACGGGGAATAGGAAAATGCATACGAGGTACCTGCTTATAAGAGACATCTTGTATAAAAGACAAGAATTGCTGCCTGGAGCATGCCTCTTATAAAGGGGTTTACCTGTATGTGGAAGAAAATGACTAGCCGCAAAGCAAACTATTAAAAAATCAGCCCTAACATAGCCGCTAGTCAAGTATTCTTGCTTTTAGACAGGACCCAAATAAATAACAGCAAATTAAATTGTATTACGACAAAAATGGGGAAACTGTAAAAATCAGGTATCTCATACTAAATATGTAAACCTTGAAAGAAGTGTAATTGGGCGTAGCTCCATACTGTAAAGGACTGTAAAGAACGTACTCTGCAAATGAGCTACCTCTACTTTGATTGATATGTGGGGTCTAACGTCCCAAAACCACCATATGATTATGAGAGACGCCGCAGTGGAGGGCTCCGGAAATTTCGACCACGTGGGGTTCTTTAACGTGCACCCAAATCTGAGCACACGGGCCTACAACATTTCCGCCTCCATCGAAAATGCAGCTGCCACAGCCGGGATTCGAACCCGCGACCTGCGGGCGCTACCGCTACTTTCCTAGGGATCCAAAATCAGATTATACACGGTAAGGCTGCAATACATTTTTGTCTTCACATTTTTTCTGGATACTGAAATAAACTACATCCTACAATTGTCATATATATGGGCATATAAAATTATAAAGCTATATATACTTACGATATACAATTGTTCCAATCCTGAGTGCTTAGACAGTACAAGTTTAAGACATAATGACAGCAGTACCAACAATACAAATTGAGAGCTAAAATGTGCCAGCTTTATCTGAATTCTCTTGAGTGAAACCATACGATAAAAAAAAAAACCACATTGTCATCTGTGGATACCATAGACCTAGCACACGAAGTTAAAAAAAAAGTCATCATGGCAATGTCGCGAAAATACGAAAAATACATTATGCAATTTGTTATGTCATGTACAGAGATTTCAGCGCAAAATTTAAAAATGAAACTTCAACCGTGATTTTTGCAGCTAATAACAAACTTACGACAGTGAAACTTATGGCATTAAATTTCTCAGAGTGCAGTTTATCAATCTAAACCAAGTCACTGTTTCTCTTTACAGTCTCCCAGTCAGCTCTCTGGCCTTCTTAGCTGGAGCCACCACGCACGGAAACAATGTAACTTCCTTTAAATAAATATGAGCCCGCTTCTGAACCAGGATATCAACAAAAGGCCTACTGTAACAATGTTAGAGTTAATTTAAGCCATCCCACCCAAACTAAGTTCCAAAATCGGCCTTTGTCGCATCTAAGATATTTGGCCTGTCGAATTATTTGAAACTTTGAATAATAGCTATTAAAAAGTCTAATTATTTAACAAGGTATTATTAGAATCAAATTTGAAATTCAAATATTTGCACACCCATACATTTTAGTCCGATGACTAGCTATTACACAATGTCGAGTGATTGTAGTCACATGACTAAATATTACATGATATTTTGTTGTTTGAATAGATGTTAAGTGATTTTAGTAACGTGACTAGATGTCATATTTTAGTCATGTGACTATTATGTGATGTTACAGGAGTTTAGTCACGTCATTCATTTAACAGGATGTTACACGATTTTTAGTAACGTAACAGACTCGCCTATCATAGTTTTTGCGCTCCCCACCAGGCAAACCGAAACAAGTGTTGTGAGAGCAAAGAAGAAGTTGAAGAGAACAAAGCGAGCGCACACCGGTTCATGATTATGATAATTCTTGTTCACACTACCCGGCACAACGAAAAGGTTAAAGAGCTCCGCTTTTAAAACTTGAGAATGATGCCCCCCACATATGGCTGTCCGAGTTGACAAAGAAAAAACGGTATGCAATGCTTACATCACGAAGACATCGCTTTCCGCAGCTGTGAAAATATTTGCAAAACCGGGCCCCAGTAGACTCTCGTTAAACAGAGTGTGAAGAGACCAAGAGATTACTTTCCACTTCACAGGAACTTCATTTACTGAGAGATGAACAGGGGTGTAAAATACAAGTGCTGAACCAATCATATCAAAGACAGTTGTTCTATTGAAGCGGCAATTTCGTTTCATGAGAGTCTAATGTACTTTCACGCAAGAGCACATATGCAGAAGCTCCGTCCCTGTAGCTTTCCCTCTATTTCCAGAAAAAGTTGTCTATGAGAACAATAGCAAAATTTTCTTTGCCTGCTGTGAAGTCCCGAAAGATTTGAGATGTTCGTACACCATAATATACACAATGCCAGAACTGTGATCCATAATCTGCAGACATAAATCCTACCACTACACAGTCGCTTTTACATAACTGCAGCACGTTCATGATGCATGCACATGGGAGAGATGCTTAAATGTTCAATTGGAATTGAACACACAGACTTTTGCTAACAATACCTAACTATTACAACACCAGCAAAACTGCAATTTCTCACCTCATGATTTTTGTGACGATGCTTGACGTCCTTTTTCACCTTGAAGAAATTAAACCATACACTGCGATTAGCAACTGCTACCTTTTTAAGTAAGCGTGATGGAAGTGTACTTACTGTAATGCAAGAAAAAAAAAAGAACGAACAGAATCTTGTTTGTTGGAAATGCTCACAGGCTTGTTTAGAATCAACAGTGTTTAACTACTTCAATTAAAACAGGTGCACACTTTGACTTGCCAGCATGACAAAAAATTAGAATTTTAAAAAGATGTGTTATGCTATTTCTAAATGTTATCCAAAGCAGTCTGTTCATCTAATTAAAATAAATCCATTGATAAACAAGTCCATCTACTTGAGAAATTTCATTCTTCACATAAAACCATCGTTAATGGTTATTTTGATTAGCTTCTACTCAGTTTATTATTTTCTTACCATTGACATTGCTGTGTGTCACCAATCCCATCCTCAGGTTAAAAAGTTTAGAGGTCTTTACTTTATACTCTACACTAAAGAGTACGGCCTTGGCTCAACACTTATAGTCGTACATGTCCATATATTACACAAGCCGTGTGGCAAAAGAATGACGTGCCTGCATTATAATTGTGAAGCCTGTCTTCTGGCATCCCAACAGAAAAATCTAGTAATTCATCCTATTCCCCTTAAGTAAAAAGTTATATGAAAACTTACTAGACAGCACTGAAAAACTTCTAACGCATGAACAAAAATTGCAATGGGTCCAAATGAAAGGGCATAAACTAAACAAAAAATGCCAACAAAACACTGAACAAACTAAATGTTTTACCTTGACATGATAGTGAATAGCTTTTCAGATTAAGCTTGCCACATGTCTAATTATAGAAAAGCCACAAACTTCATATGCCAGTTTACAAAGTGAGGACAGGCTGAAATATACCGGGTGTTCAAAATTAAGCTTTATGATTTTTTTAAAATTAGGCGCTCGAAGGCACGTGAGAACCACTTGTGCAAATAAGTTAAGCGGCCAGGGGGACAGAAAGTTAGATGATAATTATCGCTGTCAGCAGCCCAATTAACTAAAATTTAATAATTAACTTTTTACTGGCTGCGGTAAGTTGGCATGTTTATATTGAAAAAATGTAGGCAGTGGTGTTTGTACACAGTTTCAGTTGGAAGATTTTTTCTAGCACGCCTGTGTTCCGAGATATCCGGCTCCAAAGTTTAATTGTCTTTCGCACGATTACGCATGCAAGAGGGTGAGGGTCCGCGCAAAGCTCCTCCCTAAAGTGACGCATCTGTTGCGTGTGGTGTTTAGTGTGTGAAGAGGGTGGAAGCGTAGGCATAGGTGATAGCAATTACCCTTGCCCTCTTCGGCCGTCGAAATCAAAAATCGAAGAACGCTTGCAACCAGTGTCGTAACACGCAACTGCAGAGCCTCTAACGATAGTGGCAGATACCATGCCGAGATAATGGTGCGAGCGGAGAATCTGGATGCCAGTGCGCGTGCGTAATAATCACTAGAGAAGCATGCGTGGTCGTTGCCTGGGCTACGCGAATAGCGTGACTGCTGATGTCCGAGTACTGTAACTTTTATTGAAACAAGAGCAACAACTCCACCAATAATAACTGAAACAGTTTTATCCTTGCTAACGCATATTTCCTGCTGCTACATAAGCATATTTCGGTCATGCACAAATCTCATCGAAACTCTTCACCTCTCAAGACGTCAATGCCCCAAAAAGTGTTCAAAATGCCTGCCTTCGGCAGCAACGCAAAGCATGAACCGCTGTCGCGTCGACTCGATGACTCGGCGCAGTACTTCTGCAGGAATACTCGCACAGGCAGATGTTATCCTGTCCTTCATGTCATTAACATCGCTGGGCTCTGTTACGTAAACTCGATCTTTAACGTAGCCCCAAAGGAAAAAGTCGAGCGGAGAAAGGTCAGGTGATCTTGGTGGCCAAAACATCGCTCCTGCGCGCCCAATCCACTGTTGTGGAAAACGTCTGTCCAACCAGTTCTTCGCCCTGGTAGAAAAATGTGGTGGTGCTCCATCGTGCTGAAACCATACTTGGCGCAGGTCATTCAGGGAAAGACTGCAGACAAGATCATCAATGACAACACCTAATATTTCTTCTGTGTACATCTTTCCGTTCAAGTTGTCCTCAAAAAAGTGAGGTCCGATGATCCTGTCCCCGAGTATGCCGCACCACACATTCACACTCCAGCGAACTTGATGCTTGTGCTGCCTCAGCCAGTGTGGGTTTTCTTGTGCCCAATAATGGGCGTTGTGAAGATTAACACTTCCATTTCGGCAAAACCGAGCTTCATCAGTCCAAATTATTCTGTGCAAAAAGTCATTTTCTTGATCAGTTTTGATGAGGCCCCAATTGCAGAAGTCAACTCGCCTTTCAAAGTCCGCCTCATTTAGGTCCTGATGAAGGTAAACGTGATATGGATGGAACTTGTGCTTTCTTAAAACATTTGTGACTGTTCCGATGCTGCGACCGCACTGATCGGCAATCTGTCGGATGCTGAGCTCTGGCATCGAGGTTACGCACGCGACAACGTCGATTTCAAAGTCTTCATCGACGATTGCCTTCCTGGTCCGTCTCGGAAGGTGGACAGAGCCTGTTGTGCAGAAGCGTCGAAACAGGTTTGTGAAAGTGGGCCTTGTTGGAAGGGGACGGTGTGGGTGGCGAGACGCGTAAAGCTCCATTGCTAACGAAGCGTTGCCATTCATTTCAGCCATTGCAAGCACCACGTCTACTTTTACTTTGGTAGAATACCTCACGCCAGAAGCAGCCATATTAGCTCGAAAGGACTCCACGTGGATTTCCTTGGTAGACCTTCAATGCAGAGACGCTGTGCTCTAACCGGAGGCACCCTAGTGCAGGACGGTCCTGCTAACGCGTTCACAAGAAGATGTCTCAGTGTGATCTAAAGTCACGAAAAAAACGTCGCGAAAAATGGTCTCCTGTTATCGCGTTCATCAGGATCATGCGTAAGGCTCATGGCGCACCGCGCTGTCACATTTTGATTTCGCCGGCCGAAGAGGGCAAGGGTAATTGCTATCACCTATGCCTACGCTTCCACCCTCTTCACACACTAAACACCACACGCAACAGATGCGTCACTTTAGGGAGGAGCTTTGCGCGGACCCTCACCCTCTTGCATGCGTAATCGTGCGAAAGACAATTAAACTTTGGAGCCGGATATCTCGGAACACAGGCGTGCTAGAAAAAATCTTCCAACTGAAACTGTGTACAAACACCACTGCCTACATTTTTTCAATATAAACATGCCAACTTACCGCAGCCAGTAAAAAGTTAATTATTAAATTTTAGTTAATTGGGCTGCTGACAGCGATAATTATCATCTAACTTTCTGTCCCCCTGGCCGCTTAACTTATTTGCACAAGTGGTTCTCACGTGCCTTCGAGCGCCTAATTTTAAAAAAATCATAAAGCTTAATTTTGAACACCCGGTACATAGAAGCTATTGCAGAGACATGTATGCATAACAAAAAATCTGTATTCACCCACATACCTGTTCTTCCATGTCATGGCTGTTATGGCATTTCTCTTTTCCCACCTGAAAAAATTATGCGACACTTTTTTTAATAAACAATAACCAATGTGGTCAAACTACAAATCATAACAGTTGAAAATTACGTCAGTGTCCCATACGAGCTTGTACTGCCTACAGTACTTCAGAGTTGCAATGATCTTGCTTATTTACAGGTGTCACGTGCTGACACTTTTTTTTTACTTAGTGCGAACTGCCAGTTGCAAGCAGGTACACCAATAATGCAAACAGCTAAAACATCACCCTCTAATGGTCGGGGGAGGGGGGCAGAAAATATCTACTAGACACTGTAAGGACAATACAAACAAGAAGCACCACATTGCCAGTATGTTTGCTAAATCTCGATAAGCCCAACACACCCATCAAAAAGCAGAACAGACAACCCTCTGCCAAACAGCTCATCACTGCCCAGGCTGGTGAAAGATGTCGTCAGGCTCACTAGTGTCATTGGCAGTAACCAATATTCACGCACTGCATGCCACTTTCGCAATTGCACGATGCACGCTCCTGCATACTCGCTGAAACATCTTTGAAATATGACTAGGAAATAAACTGCTGAGGACACTCTTGAGAAGGAAGTCAAAGGCACCAGTGAAGTGCTTTGCTTGCCAGGAGTTCAGTTTACTGAGAGCCAAGGCTCAAGGATACGGTGGCAACTACAGTGGACTCTCAATAAACGAACCTGGCTTGAGCAAAAATGCCTCATTAACGGAACAAAATGGGCTCATATGGCTGGATTTATATGCGTTGCGTAGTAAAATTTTTCGGTTAATCGAAACAGTGCTTACTGATCACCTACGATTAAACAACACAAATTCAACACAGCATAGACTCGCCCCGGCCAAAGGTAGTCTCACAACCATGGCAACACTTCGAGACAAGCCAATCCAGTAGCCATTCTCGCTTGTGGTGGCTGTGGGAGTCGAGTCGGCGGGTTAGTTGTGTATTAGGCCTATTTGTGCGGCTGAGGTAGATCACGGTGTTATTTCGGCCGGATGGAAAGGAAGCGGGCGCACCACGCACTCTCGCTTGAAAAAAAGCAGCAAATTCTTCAGGAGCTCGATCAAAGTGGCCTGCCCAAGACACAGGTAGCGAAAAAATAAAACATCCCGAAATCTACGCTATCGCGGTCCAGCAAATACAGAGAAAAGATTGAAGGCGCTTACAAGACCGGGGCCCTTACATCTATGCGGATGCGAATGCGGACGATGCCTTATGAAGAACTCGAAAAAGTTCTTTTCCTGTGGCTCAAGCATGCACCGAGTTCCAATTTGCCCATAAGCGGAACAATTGATGATGAGTTTGATGTTTTGTGGCGCAAGGGCCGTTTCACGGCCAAAGAGCGCCAGTTCATCTTACTAAAAATATGGACAATGATTGTGATAAGCGGCTGTATAAGGGCCATAAAATTCCTCGCGGTAAGGCGCGTAAGAACATACAAGTAATAAAATCATGACCATGCCGTGAAAAGTGCGTGTGGTGTGAATAGATGACAAAAGTTGGTGATAATAAAAGACGATGGTGGATATGTATGGCATTAGCACAAGTGCCTCACTCGTTCATACCCTTGCGTCCAAGGGCCGTGAGGCAAGTGCTTTCTTGTGTAGCCACCGCAGCAAAAACCTCTCTGGAGAGGTCGTGCTACGGAATGACCGGGTATATGATATGAAAACTATGAATTTCTTTTAAAAACTCTAACAATGATTTATGACTAAAAAGCGGTTCCCTACCGACGAACATTGCAGGGTGTAAAGGTATATGTTGTCGGTAGGGTAATGGAAAATGTTGTTTTCTTATAGTTTCTAATTGTTTACATTGGATTAAAACGTGAAGGACTGTTAATGTTTCACCACATTTTTCACACAATGGTGGATCACCACCGGACAAAAGATGCGTGTGTCGTGTATGTGTGTCCTATCCCGAGTCTTGTTAGTGTTACCTCTGTTAGACGTGATTTCGATACGGGCAGCCAATGACCAAAGTGTGGCTTAATAACGTGTAGTTTGTTTTGTGTGTGTGTATCCCACTTGCTCTGCCAGTATACCCTGAGGTTTCGTTTGAGAGACGGCTTAAGATCAAGGGCCGGGATTGATATGGGTGTAGGGGCAGTGCTTTTGTGGACGGATGCAGCGAGCTGATCTGCCCTCACGTTGCCTTGAATCTCACGGTGCCCTGGCACCCAGCACACTACAACATGTTGTTTGAGTGTGTAGAGTGTGCACAAAATGGAGTAAAGTGAGACAAGGACTGGGTTTTTGTGTTTTTTAAGAGTATGCAGAGCTGTTACCACACTGAGAGAGTCCGTATAAATTACTGTTTTTGTATTTGTAATTGCTTGATGTGTTTAGCCGCCACAAGTATCGCATAAGCTTCCACTGTGAAGATACTTGTGTCTGGATGTAGAGGGCCAGCATCCGAAAAGGATGGGCCGACAGCAGCGTAGGACACAGAGGAGTTAGACTTGGAGGCATCTGTAAAGAGCTCAGGACGTGTGTATTTGTGTTGAAGTTCCAGGAAATGTGTTCGGATATGGGCAATAGGCGCATGTTTTGTAACTTCTAGAAAAGACACATCGCAGTCTATAGTCTGCCATTGCCACGGTGGCGGGTATGCTACAGGAGCCATTAAACTGTGTTCAAGTGAGACTCCAGTTTCCTCAGCTAGACTCTTCAGGCGAACTGAGAAGGGCTGCCTCATCGAAGGCCTGCTTTGAAACAGAATTGAGCTCGACAAATCATTAATAGTAGAGTATGAGGGGTGCTTCTTGTCTGCTTTTACCTTAAGGAAATAAAAGATATGCAAGTTCTCTGCAGATGAAGCGACCACTCATTTGACTCAACATAAAGGCTTTCTACGGGGCTGGTGCGAAAAGCACCCGTAGAAAGGCGGATGCCCAAATGGTGCACGGGGTCCAGCATCTTCAAAGTACTTTGAGTCGCAGACTGATAAACAACGGCCCCATAATCCTAGCGGGTGCGAATGAGGCTTCTATATTGGTTCATGAGACATTGCCTGTCACTACCCCACCTAGTACGTGACAACACTTTTAAAACATTCATGGCTTTTAAACATCTTGTTTTTAGATACTTGATGTGCGGTACGAAGGTCAACTTGTTGTCCAAGATTAATCCTAAGAATTTATGCTCTGTATTAACAGACAGACGTTGACCGTTCAGTTCAATGTCGGGTTCTGAGTGCATGCCTCTCTTTCGGCAGAACAAGACACACGTGCTTTTTTGTGGGTTCAGTCAAAATCCGTTTTCCTCTGCCCATTTGGAGACCTTGTTTAAACCTAACTGAACCTGCCGCTCACACATTGCCAGATTGCAAGATCTAAAGCCAAGCTGGACGTCATCGACATACGTACAATAAAACATATTGCGAGGAATGGACAAGCGCAAGGAATTCATTTTGATGAGAAAAAGTGTGCAGCTAAGTACCCCACCTTGTGGCACGCCTGTTTCCTGGACAAATAATTGGGAAAGAACCGTGCCCACTTGGACACAGAATGTCCGGTTTGACAGGTAATTTTGATTATGTGAAACATTCTTCTGCGCACGCCAAGGTGGGACAGGTCTCTTAGAATTCCAAAACGCCATGTTGTATCATAAGCCTTTTCGATATCGAGGAATACAGAGAGAAAATATTGTTTATGGACGAAGGCGTCCCTGATCTGTGCCTCAATACGAACAAGGTGGTCTGTGGTGGATCTACTCTCTCGAAACCCGCCCTGAAATGGGTCGAGAAAATTGTTTGTTTCAAGGATATGTACAAGTCGGCAGTTTATCATTTTTTCGAAGACTTTGCACAAGCAGCTTGTAAGTGCAATAGGCCTATAACTCGAAGGTAAAGAAGGGTCCTTGCCCTCTTTCAAAATGGGAATAATAATAGCCTCTTTCCAAGAGGTAGGGATAGTGCCAGAAAACCAGATAGCATTGTACAAGCAAAGCAAGGTTTTTCGTGTTTCGATTGGTAAGTTTTTTAACATTTCATACACCACACGGTCAGAACCTGGGGCAGAAGTACTGCAGGAGTTTAGAGACGTTCGCAGCTCAGCTAGACTGAAAGCTTGGTTATATGCCTCGTATCTAGTGCCTTTGTGTTCGAGTTTCTGCTTTTTCCATTCTTGTTCTGTATTTTTGGAAAGTGTCAGTATAGTGGGATGAGCTGGACACCTGTTCGAAGTGTGCACCGAGGAAGTTTGCCTGATCTTCCAAGGTATCACCCTGAGTGTTTACGAGTGGAAGTGTGTGTACTTGTTTTCCTGCTATCCTACCGACCATGTTCCAGACTTTAGCCTCCTGTGTGTATGAATTGATCCCCAACAAAAACTTCTGCCAGCTTTCCCTTCTGGCCTGCCGACGCGTTCTCCTGCCTTGAGACTTTATTTTCTTGAAAGTGTCGAGGTTTTCGGCTGTCGGTGAGTTCCGAAGCAGCCTCCAAGCTCTGTTTTGCTGTTTGCGCGCGTTTCGGCATTCAGAGTTCCACCATGGCACACGCCGTTTTCCAGGGTGTCCATTTGTTTGTGGGATGCATTTTGTTGCAGCATCAATCAAAAAGGCTGTGAAGTAGTTGACAGCAACATCAATGTTCAAAGTACATATGTCATTCCAACCTAGACGAGCGATGGTATAAAACTGTTCCCAGTCGGCTCTATTTATGAGCCACTTGGGAACACGTGGTGGGCACTCAGTTACTGTAGTTGTGCTCAAAACTACGGAGAAGTGGTCATTTCCGTACAGATTACTGACGACATTCCACTGGAGTAGAGGCACAAGAGATGGAGATGCTATGCTTAGGTCTATGGAGAAGTAGGTGTTATTAGCGAGATTATAATAGGTTGGTTCTTTTCGATTCAGGAGACACGCGCTCGACGAGAGAAGGAACTGTTCGATCAGTTGACCTCGCGCGTCATATCGAGAGTCACCCCATAGCCTGCTATGCGCGTTAAAGTCTCCAAGGAGAACATAAGGCTCCGGAAGTTCATCAATTAGAGAGTGTAAATC